GTCCGTGGGATTTGAACCCTAGACCTGCTACTTGGAGAGGGTGACGACTTGACCACTTCACTAAGCCGCCACACCTTCAATCAAATTAATTGTATGAGCACTACAAAATATATCTAAAATAAATTATGTTTTTTATTTACTAAGCATCTAGCTCATCTTATATTAATACTATAATTAGTTACAATAGCAGCAAATTTGTCAATACCAATTTTTTTTAAAATATTATTAATCTTATTAACTAAAAAATTTTCAGTTGTTGATGTTATAGAGTAGTCTTTAATTTTAAATAAATAATTTTGACAACTAAAGTTGTAATAATATAATTATAAAAAGATGTACTTGAAGAAGTTGTTTATCTGTCAAGTGCTATAAAAAGTTATTTATAAAAATTTTAATTAAAAAATAATAATAATAATAAAATAATTTTATTTACTTAAAGTTAAATTTTCTTAGATTCTAACTTATCATAAATTGATTTCTCAACTTTAGTTACCTCTTTATCAAGGATATATTCAGAAAGAGTATATTAAGAAGAGAGAATATATCCATGGTTCAAAGTTTTAAACATGTTAATTATAAATAGATTGTCAATTGTTTTAAAGAAAAACCAGCACATACCCAAACTTTTAAAATAGAACAATCAATTTCTCTTTGCTTTTCTTCTGTTATTACTTCAATATTTGGTTTAATATTATTCTCAATTTTGTGTTTTTGTTTAACAGTTTTTTCTTCTTCAGCTACATTATTTCTCCACAATTCTTTAATATTATGTGGAACATTTAAACATTTCCATGCCAAATGATGCTTAAGTTGTTATGGTCTTCCACGTGACCAAGTAGTTAAACAATGTTTACATCTTGCACCATAATGACACTCTCCTGTGTGTTCTCCAACAAAAAAATAACCCCAAACTGGATCTGGAATAGATTCACCATGACATTTTTTTTTAGGTTGAATTGAAACATCATCTTCAGAAAAGTTGGTTGGATTGTCAATAAATTAGGTATATTTCTTGATAATTGTTAGTTAGTTCCTCAATTGATTCCATTATGGTACGATTGTTACTGAACAAGATTCAAAACAAAAAAAAATTTATTATATATTAAATTTAATTATGAAGTATGACAGACATTGTAATTAGTTATTAGTTATGGCAAGTTACGTCATTGATTAATTAGTTTAATTAGTTACGACAAGTTATAACATTATACCACTGATTTTGATTACGGCACAATGGGATCATGTAGGATCTTTGCTATTAAAATGACCCTCCGAGGCTATGTTGATTTTGTGAATAAAAATTAAAATTTGCCAGCTATCTAG